GGGAAGGATATTAATGACAAGAATTAATTGTCATCTAAGAGCTGAAAAGCGAACTCCCACTGCCCTTTGTTTGGGCCCACTTCTTTAGTGGGGCCACTGATTAAAAAAAAGTCTTTTGACTTTAATGCTGCAAACTTGAGCTGTTTATGAGCAGCATCAGGGAACAAGGTGTAGCACTGTTAGTGATGCATATAACTTTTTTTATTTATTAAATAAAAACTAATATGCTAATGTCTGAGCCAGATGGTGGTTGTATAAATATGAGACTTTTATTTATTTATGTGTGTGTGTGTGTGTGTGTGTGTGTGTGTGTGGTTTACAGAAAAATAGACAACGTATTGAATTAAAGAAATGATAGATTAACGGTTTTCACTGAATCCATTTTTCCCTTCAGATTGGGGTTACTAGTAATAGGAGATGTGGTATGAAAACCTGGATTTTGGTGTTTCATTGACATCTTTATCCTGCCCAGCCCTGAGCATTTTGGTCTGAATCCAGCAAAGCACTTAAGCACATGCTTAACTTTTAAGCATAAAGTAGTTCAGTTAAAGTCAATGAGGATGCTATTGACTTTAACTATTTCAACACCTTGCAGGGTAAAGTTTTTATTGAAGGAAGAAAGTGAAATTATGTCTGTTCCATGGAAAAGAATAGTTTCTACATTAGTTGATTATCTCAAGTGTAAAACTATAATCATAGGCAAATGAATAAAAGAAAATACTCAAGAATATCTCAACAGGTATCCATGCAGAAAAACAGAATTCATCAGACCAATCATTTTTCTTTATGAACTGATAACTGTAACTGTATGTCATTGTGCTTGTTTGATAGGCATATAGTAACCTCAGCATAGTCTGAGACGTATTCATATCACAGATCATCAAAAAATGTTGGTACAATTTGCATGTTTTTCTTAATGTTATAGCTATGTTTTAAGTTCAATGTCAAGGATGTTTACACAACAGCTGAGGGATCAGTGTTTGTCAGAGTTATTTGTCAATTTTTATGAGCATCAAATTGGGTCTTACACTCCTCACTTAATAACAAGTATTTATGTGGAGTGCCTGTGTCTGTTAGGCCGTCTCAGACTGTTCAGCAG